CAACACAACTGTTAAACCCCACAATTAGGTCATCTGCTTAAGGGTTTTGAGTGGAAAGAGGTACCTGTCTAACCAAAGATAAAGATTTGCCTCTGCCTAGGCACACAAGGCTTGATGAATCTTGCCAATTTCTTCCATGTTACTTAGTAGATTTCAGTGGCTTAGCACTCAGTCGGATTCAAGAATCTCTTGTCAAACCCTTCCCAAGCACTACAAAAATGTTACTGGCACCTAAATAAAGACGGAGAAGTCCCAGACATCTCATACATACTGGGTTTAGGAATTACATTCACAGTAAATAACCTTAAAAAACTGTAAAATTCTGTCTGGTCACTTCTGGAAAATTTTAACTACTTGCATAAAAAGCAGCAGCTCTCAGTCAGAGATTCAGAGCTTGCTAATGGCAGCACTTTCACATTAAAGGATGAGAGAGGATAGATACTTTGATGTGCCAGTTTTATCCTTTCCTTGAAGCAAAGACAGAAACTGATAGCCTGAACAGTCTCTGAACTGCCAGAATATCTGCTTGCAAGATGTTAGCCAAAAGGTCCATTCTTTCTCAGAAGAGAGTTCCTGAAACACAGCGACCCATACTACTATACATCATACACTCGCTTTAGACTGTACCTCCAGCTAATTTTGAAAAAGACTTCAGTATATGAAAGGGCATACAAAACACTTTTCTGTAGCCACCATGGGTACACTAACCAAGCCTGATCTAAATACTAAGATTACTATGCACTGCCACAACACCTTCCAGTTTAGGCAGCATCCAGGGGAAAAGGTGGGGTTTTTTTTTCCTTCCAATATCCAGACACAAATGAAAAACAAATGTACCTAGCTGCTATGCAAATACACACACTGTTCTCCTCCTTGGCTGTAATTTCTGCCATCTGAGAATAAAGCACATCCAAGGAGTGACATGCCAATACACCTTGAACTAGCTTTACCCTGGTAACTCAAACACTTCAGATAAATTACAAGAGCAATGAACATACACAGTAGTCAGAAAACACATAGCAGTCAACGCAGGAAAACAGACTGTTAACTACCGCTTAGAGAAAACAAAAGTTCCTATACAGAAGCAAACAGAGATTCAACTTGAAATAACTGAGAACATCTGCTGTAGGTGACATCAGTATCTTAACTGCTGGAAAATTGCTGGCTGGAGAGGAACGTAAGAGGAAGGAAGAAGAACAGGTAAGAAACAAGTCAAATTTTCACAAATTTGTAGCATAACAAATTAAACTTACCAACAAATTTATAGGGTAGGTAACATCCATTTATTATTAAGAATATTTGGTCACAGACTTTGGTATAAACAAAGCATGAATCTACTCAGAAGAAAAGTACTTAGTTACCAAAAATGTATGAAATACTACTGGTCAAAAATTTATGTACTGTAAAATAATTATTCAATATTCAAGGATCAGGCACTGAAAACAACAGGATAAAAGCCTATTAAGGGACTACGAGGGAAAAACAAAGACCAGCCCTCATCAGCAGTGTTGCTCATTGATTTAATAGTTAAATGCAGAAAAATGCACTCTGTGAGAATATTATTCCCTAATGAACAAGTAACTTTACTCCTGAATCCCATTTATCAGTTGCTACCGCCAAAATTCCTAAGCTACACACCTGAATCAGAATAAACCAGGTGTTTTGTAACGGCTCCACAGTTTTTTCAACAGCGCTTGCTGCAATTGCGCATCACCACTAAAGCACTTCGGAGAAAGCAAATCCTCCACATGCCATGCCTAGTGATGATCAAGACGATAGAGGTAAGCAGCAAACCAGAAAATAACTGAAGTGTTAAACCCACAAAACCACACCTATCTACACCCAGACTACAGCCACAAACATTACAGAGGGTGTTAAGCCAGAATCCAACAACCGCACCACCCCGAGCCCCCGGAGAAGTCCACACCCTGGGGAAATGCACCACATCCCCGAAACGATGGGCACACACGAGAGAAGGGAGGCCACCAGTGCCCTCACACACAGCCCTTTACCCCGGGCGTGAGGAGCATCTCCCTGCCGCCAGAAGCGGAGGCCCAGCGCCCCGCACTCACCCCGCAGCC